TGGAATTCCAAACGAAGATAGTGAGTTCCCGGGAAGGAACTATACAGTTGGAAAAGTCATACAACAACTGTATGATATTAGGAAAGCTTCAAACCCCAAACTTGCAATGACACTCAAATTGCTTATGAATTCGACATGGGGATATTCCATTAAGAAACCTCAAGAGATGAAGAGTAAACATTATGAGAAGGTCGACAACTTTATTGAAAGGTTTTCTCCTTTTGTTTTGAAGTACGAATTCACTCAAGGTCAAAATGGCTTAGTAACCACATTAAAACCTATTGTCGAACATTGGTCTTACCCTCAGTTCGCAAAGGCAGTACTTGACGAGTACAACAAATTCTTCTCCGAAGTCAAATCGAAAGTCAAGGTTTACTATGAGAACATTGACGCACTCATGACGAACGAAGAAGGATACAACAAACTCATTGAAATGGGAATGGTCGGTGAAAAGATGGGCTGTTTTAAGCTAGATAAGGTATTTTCCGAAGTTCATGTAATATCGAAAAGGAAATATTGGGGCATACTTAAAGACGGCACAGAAATAAAACATTGCATGAAATAAAAAATTTATTTTTAAAAAAGTGACATTTTTTAAATTTTATTTGAAATGTACGCTGAGTTTGTTGGAGAAGACCGTTGGGAAACTTGTTTGTTAGATGAGAAATATGAAATGGCATACCATTTTAAAACAATATATTTTTACATATATTAAATGCTTCAGGTTGAAAAACAAAGAACAAAAGTAGCAGATACAAAACCGTTAGACTATATCTTTACAAATGCTGGTAGGACTATTTCAGATGAAGAAATTTCATCCCGAGCATACAGGTTTGACTATCCAATTCGTTGGCTTCAAAGTCCTTCAGATGCAAAGGCAATAGGATTTAGAAGAGTTTTGTTTTCAAATAGAACTAACGCATTTATGTTCGCAGTATATTTTCATGGGCAGTATGAAGGTCCTGATGGTCTAATAGACAAATTTGACGAAATGAGAATCTTTACAGTTCGTTCAGACGAAAGTCTTGAGAAAACTCTAGATGACTTTCAAACTCAAATGAACAAATATTATTGGGAATTTCAAGAAAAATACAACTCTTTACTAAATGGAACATACTATCTGAAACTAGAATATGACAAGATGAACTCCACCGTTTCATTTCAAAAGATTGAAATTAACCCTCCAAGAGATACAGAGTTTTTATTTTGGGAAGTAGACAAACGTTCTTGGGCACAATTTCTTCGGTTACTAAACCAGAACGAACCATTACCACCAGATGGTCCATTTAAATTTATACTTCCACCAGCAGATTTGATGGTTTATAGAAACGTGTTTGACCCTCAAAATGTTATGTGTCATGCAAGTTTCAGTTCAAGCAACAATAGTTTTCTATGTATTGGTAAGGACCTTTATGACTTTGCTTCTAAATTCTACGAACCACCTAGTAACAGTTTCTCTGACTTTCAAGTTTGGTTCACAAAAATGGTGTGCAACATATTATTCCATTGTACTATGACTTTTATCTCGAATTGTCTTTCATATATAACTACGGAAAAGTGCTGAAAAAGTATTGAATGTGAAGATATTAGAAAATAACATTTTTTCTAACATCGTAGAAAACTCATGAAAACAATTTATTTTTTGACACTTTCACAAAAAATTAAAAAAGTGAGTTAAAATGAGATGTTTACTGAACTGGCTGAATGTCGCCTTCTGTAGTTATGTAGAATGGTTGACCAGAGAAGTGAAGGAGACCCTTGAGAATTTGGTTCATTCTTGGGAAAGGGTTCTCTCTGTTTGGAAGTAGTATCCAAGGACGCTTGGCAAAGAACTTTATAATGGCTTCCTTCTTTGCTTGCTTTATGTCGTCGTAGGCTGTCCCGTCTGGTATTTGAATTGGAATTCCAGTCGAAGTCTCGAGATTCAAGGCAGCCCTTCCCGTTATCCAACCGTTAACAAGCTTGCCTTTTACATTCTGCCTGAGGAAGTCTTTAACAAGCTCGTTAATTTCAATTAGGTAAATTGCCTCGTCGGTAGGTTCGACCTCGACCATTGCTACTGTCAGAAAAAGTACTGCTACTGTCAGAAAAAGTACTGCTACTGTCAGTAAAAGTACTGCTACTGTCAGTAAAAGTACTGCTAGTAGCAGTAAAACAACTGCTACTGTCAGTAAAAAGGAAAATTTGAGAGGGTTTTCGACGATAAAGTACTGCTACTGTCAGAAAAAGTACTGGTACTGTCAGAAAAAGTACTGCTACTGTCAGAAAAAGTACTGGTACTGTCAGAAAAAGTACTGCTACTGTCAGAAAAAGTACTGCTACTGTCAGTAAAAGTACTGCTAGTAGCAGAGATTTTTATCGTTGTGGTCCGACGGTTAAGCCACAAACGAATGTCCGACGTCCCACCAACCGAGTCCATTCCCAAACCAGAGGAACCTAAAGAACCACAACAGTCTCCTCAGCAACCTCAGTTCCAGCAAGTACCTCCGAATTACTACCAATTTCCACCTCAAGGTTACTACCCACCACAAGGCTTCCCGAACTACCCTCCTCAGCCTATGCCTTACTTCCCCAACCCTTGGATGTTCCAGCAAGCTCCACCCCAACAATTCCAATTCCAATCTCAGTCCAAGAGAGACCAAGACTTCGAAGAAGGTCTGAACCGCTTACGCAAAGAGTATGCTACAGCTCCAATTGAGAGAAAGTTGTTCCCGGACCAAAAAATATAATTTAGGTGAAGAGGTGAGATTTCACCTCTTTTTTCACCTGTTTTTTCACCCTCATGAATTTTCATGAATTTTATATATTAATGTTTTCGTTAAGCCACTTTGTGCCGTCAGTCAGTCAGTCAGTCAGTTTAGGAAAGACTTTAGAAAGTTGTTGGAAAATAAGTCCTGGGAAGAGTATTATAAGGCATTTTGTGAAGAATATAGCAACCACCGGAATTCAGACGGTTGCTTTTTATACAAAATTCATGCAGGAAATTCTTGAGTTTTGGTTGAAAGAATACGGTGGAGCCAAAAGTGGCTGGACCTCAAAACAAGCATTTTATGAGCTTACTAAGGGCGTTATAAATGAATTCAAAGGTATTTACATACATCCTGACCTCGTTCATTTTGTTGCTGAATTCAGCAAAAATATAATTTAGGTGAAGAGGTGAGATTTCACCTCTTTTTTCACCTGTTTTTTCACCCTCTTGAATTTTCATGAATTTCCTTAAGATAGAAAAAATAAAGTTAGTTTTATTTTTATTTATTTTTTTATTTTGTATGTAAGAACAGAAATGTCAACAATCGGCACAACAACAATTCAAACTACAGCACCAAACTCGTTAGTCATGAATCCAACATCTATGTTAGTAGAAATGAAAAGCTTCATTCCTTCTTCATATACTTTCGAAACAGAAATCCAGAAGATAAAGCAGGAACTTTTAACAAGGAATTTAGACTGTAGTGCGAAAGATGAAACAAATGAACAGTATCTTTATGAAATGGAGGACCTCATCGACCATTTGCCTAAACTACCTGAAATTCAGCAGCAAAAACTAACTATTCCTGAATTCGATGAAATTGAAGTCAAAGCAACTGACTCAGTAGAAATAAAGAAGTTCATTCGTAAGGTAAACTATGAATTCCTTGGTTTTCATTGCAACCATAAAGTTATGGACAAAGATTGCGACATGGTATATAAGAACATCTCTGACATATATAAATCTGGGGAGTTTAAGACATACGACAACTTTGTTTCATTAGCTGCAAAATGTGTATGGCAGATAAGAGATAAAGATAGAAGAGGTAAGGTATGGCATGAACAGATAAAACCAACTGCTTCAGATTTAAAAAAAACCATTGACGCCTTGGTTGTTTTAGCAGGTAAGGTTTCAGAATATAACGCAAAAATGAACCCGCGATGTTCTAAATGTAAAGCAGCAATGAGGAAATATAACTACTCCGTCAAAGAGATAGAAAGAATGCGAAACGACTATGCAGACTTAAAGAAGAAGCAGAGAAGCCGGTAGAAATAAATGGACATGTTAGAATTTCTGAACAAAAACTATCCAACAGCAGAAGATTTCCTTCTATCTGACGTCAAGAAGAAGTATAAAGAAACTTTCGGCATTGTTAAAACATTCGATGTACTAAAAGAAGAAATAGAAGCTACAAAACTGTTTAGGATTTCAAATATACATCGTACAATTCATGTGAAACGCTTATAAAATAACTGAGGTGAAAAATTAGGTGAAAAAAGAGGTGAAATCTCACCTCTTCACCTAAAATATATTTTTATTGAATTCAGCAACAAAATTCTGAGTAAAATGGCATATGGCTTGTGTCAAACCGTTGAGTTTTCACAAAATTTAAAAAATAACGTTTACCATGTGAAACGTTTATAAAATAACTGGGGTAGAAATGAGGTGAAAAAACAGGTGAAATCTCACCTCTTCACCTAAACATTATTTTTATTGAATTCAGCACAAAAATCATGAATTTCCTTAAGATAGAAAAAATAAAGTTAGTTTTATTTTTATTTATTTTTTTATTTTGTATGTAAAGACAGATATGTCAACAACAGAGAACACAACAACAGTTATAGTCCATGAAGCTATAAATGAAGAATACGAGTACATACAGTTTAACAAACAACTCCGTCTCATTCGTTCGGTCAAAGACGATATGTACCAAATGCAAAGTATTTTGACAGCATGTTTTGCACCAGATACTAAGCTTCCTAAAGACTGGTTTAGGAACCAAAGCACACAAGAACTTTTGAGCGAAGCACAGCGAGACATACTTTTTTCTGAAAACAGTGAAGAACAGCGAGTAGGTAAAAAACCCCAGTCGCCAAAATTCTATGAAAACCGTGAAAAATTGCCAAACGGTTTGAGAGGATATTATGTACATAGACTTCTTGTAAATGCTGTTGCAATGTGGGCTTCGCCTCGTTATGCTTGGTATATTTACAGACTTCTTGACGAAATTCATAGACAAGAACGTGAAGAGATGGAAAAGAAACTTCATGCAAAAGATGAAGTCATTGAAGCAAAAGACAAAAGCATTCAGAAAAGAATACCACGTTCGGTACCAAAAGGAAAGGAAAAGAACTATAAGTATATGATTTATACTGAAGAGTTGGAAAATGAAGAAGATAAAGATATGGTTATGTTGCATTTAGTCAGAAGAAACAACAAAAGCTTTTACGACCTTGCTAAGATTTACAAATCTGACAGAAATTGGTTCTATCGCGAAAACTTACCGATTTCAATGACCCCAAATGAAGATGTGAAACAAATAGTTCAAGATACGTTACCTCAAACACACTATGATATGAAAGGTTGTACAATACTTACCTTCAAAGAAGACTTACCGCTACTGAAAGAAAAAATAACAGAGTATTTTGACAACTTCAAACAAGTAGGGTAGATGAACCATTTATTTTTATTGACTTTTTACAATTTGAACTTTGTTTGCGTAGATATGAATTCTGAAAGAAGTATGAGGGTCTTGTATGACTTTGTACTTCTCCCATAGTTCATGTCTGTCAAACTTACCTGCCATGGACTCTTTCATAAGTTCCATGAAATCGTCTTCGGACAATCCGGGGAAAAGTATCATGTCAGTAAGTATTCTTTTAACATCCTTACTTAAACTCTTGGCTGTCTGTACACAAATGACAACTGAGATGTTAAAGTGTCTGAGCTTCTTAAGAATTCGACACATATCTTGTTCTCTGTTCTTTAACAAAGGATGAGAGGCGAAATCATCTAAAATAAGAAGACATCTATGAGGGTAAGTCTTCCAATCGTAAGATTGCAATTTCTTCGAAATGTATTCTATCTCTTTCTGTTTGTTTCTGAAGTGTTTCTTCTCTAATATTCTCTGCATTTCCTCATTTGGGTCTTTAAACTTCGAATTGACATACTCATTTATAGCATTATACTTCAAAACTCTTCTTTGGTACTTCTTTATCCAATCTAACAACTCAGTATCCTTTATACATACTAACTTAGACTTCTTTATAATATCTTTGAACGAATTGACGGTTTGGTCAAATTGACCAGAAGTACAACAAATAACAACTAACTCATAGAATGGGTTCTTCTCATCTAGTTCTTGTTGTTGTGCAGCCATTTTAAGATAAGTGAAAGTCTTACCCGACCCAGGTGGTGCAATTAGACCTGTTATACCATTCTGAGCAAATAAGAACTTGTCATGTATAGGCTTTATCTGAGCATTTTCTAACTTCCTCTTGTTCTTGTTTAAAACATTCTCAAATTTCTTGTCAATGTCAGCAAACTTTTTTTCTAACATATTTTTAGAAAAATTAAAATTTTTATCTTTTAGAAAATGTCTAGCGATTTCGCTATCTATATTCGAGACAAACTTTTTGACAGCAAAACTTCTGTCGACCATAAAATCTTACATAGTGTAAACAAGAAAGGTGAATTTGTTCTAAAGTTCTGTTTCTGGGAATATGACAAGAACCATAAAACATTACAAAGAGCAGTCTTAAAATTTGTCAATGACAGACTTGTTGACAGAGATGACGCCGATTGGAAAGATGAAGTCCAACAAAAGTTCTTAGAATGCAAAGAAGACACATGCGCTGTTCTTGAAGATGAAATAGAAAACAGAATAGATGAGCTATTAAAGGACAAAGAACTTTTACATAAATATGGTTGCGCCAAATTTGACATAACTCCACCAGAAAAGAAGAAGAGAGAAAAGAAAGAAAAGAAAGTAGAAGAAGAGAAGAAAGAACCTGAACCAGTTCCAGAGAAGGGGAGATATGACATGTAAAAATAAAATTTTATTTTTAGAACATTTCTGGGTCAATGTCAATGTTCTCTTCCTCTTTAGGAGTAAACACTGGCTTAGACTCTAAAATCTTTTTACCCAACTTACCTTGAACTTCAACTATCTTAGACTCATAATATTCATAGTCGTCTGCTTTCTTTGGTTCATAAGGTATAACAAGTTTGTATGCTTTACCTTCTTCGAGTTTTGAGAACTTTCTGTCAAAATTTTTTTTGACTGTCAACATACCGTCAATGTATAAGTCTTCAAAAGTTGCACCACTTTTTCTAACAACAGCAAACTTAACTGGTGCAATGTTCCAAATTTTGTCAAATGTAGACTTTTCAAAATTGTAGAAGTAAACATTCAAATATGCGAATGGAGCTAACTTATCTTTGACTTCTGTCATGTACTTATTTACTGAGATGAATTTCGTCATCTTTTCTATCGGATAAAAAAATTTTTTTTTAAAATTTACTCAGAAAAAATTTTCTTTGTATATACACCATTCTGTACGTCTAAAAGACTTTTGACATTTGCCAAGAATGTACGTTTAGAAGCTGCCATATAACCATATTCTTGACAATATTGTTTATACGAATCGTACAATGACCTTTCATCTAATGACACAAAGTCAGTTTCATCTATGAACAGTTCATATACACTCTTGTTTGCTTCTAACAATGTTTGTCTCTCTTCGGTATGTGGAATTTGTCTTGGATTGAACTTAGAAATATCTAATGTCATGAAATATGAGAACAAGTGGTTGTAAAAGTCAGATGTCAAAGTTTCTGCTAAGTCGTCAAAAATATTCTGTATCTTGCATATGAGAATCTGACGTTCTGACAACTACATATCTTCTGTCAGAACTTTCTAACTTCATCGGAACAGCATTGTTTGAAACCATAATGAAGTTTGCAACATTTTCACAAACTCTTTGGTCTTTATACTTTCTTTCAAAAACTCCAACTTTATCTGTTATAAGACTCTTCAAAGCATCTGAGTTCAAAACTTTTGTTGTATCTATACTTTGAAGTTCATTGCAAACTATAAGTTTCATATTCTCTATTGAGGAGTTAAACTTGCCACAGATGTTTTCTAAGTTTGTCATATTAGGATTCGAATAACCTTCTAACAGTTTGCATAAATATCTGTAAAAGAAATGTGTTCTTACCTGTTCCTTGTTTTCCAATTATAATGAGAGCAGTTTCATTTTTAGCACTTGGATGTTGTAAGATGTTTGCAAACCAACATAAGATATACTCATAAACTTTTCGTTTCCATTGCATATAATTTCTTTGACATGGTCTAACCAAGCTTCTATAATACTGTTTTCCATTCTACTTGTTCGTATTTATATCCAGTGAAGATAGAATAGAAGTTTGGAGAAGGTGTATAAAACTTTATACACGAACTGAAAAATCTTCTAACTTTGACAATAAGATATCCCAAGCATCTAACATCTTCATGCCAACTTGTACGACTTTTATTTTCTTAAGTTTCTGTCTACATTCTTGTTCAGACACTATTGTTGCTCTTGGTTTGTTAAAGACAACATCCCATTCTTTCATGACATAACATTCTGGGGCAGAGTCAACATAAATGACTAAACGTTTCAAATTCTCGACTGCTTTGTTATAGTCTCGAAATGGACACATATTTCTGAATGCTTGGAAGTCATAAAATCTGAAACATCTATTCTGTACATTTTTATAAAAATAAAAAAAATATTTTTTTTATTCTTGACTTTGTTGTTGCATTGTTGTTCTTGAGCTATTTGTTGTTGAAGTTGTTCTTGTAATACAATACTTTCACCAGTTGCATCTTCCAATTCGAAACTTTCTGCCGTCATTGACAAATACATAGGACATAAAAGTTTTACAGGAACAAAGTTTGCGTCAACTAATGTCAACGTTATACTTGCCAAAGTGTTTTGAGTTCACTAAGGTTGAAAATTCTGCATTCGAATGAACAATAGGCAAACCAGCAGAGAAAGTATTGTTTATACGCATAAGTATCTTTTTGGTCATAATAGTTTCTGTCGACATTCGAATAACACTTTGAACCTAAGTTTGAAACAATATATAAGATTGGTGTGCTTAATGTCAATGGAATAGACATTCCTTGTATGACAACCTTTTTCCTGTTATAGGAAACTGTTGGTAGTAAAAACCAGAAATAAGTTTTGTATTATAGCTCATATCGTTTATAGTAAACTCAGTCGGACATCCAAAACATAATGAAACCTGCTCTAGTTGCAGCACATGTTACACCCGTACTTAAAGTATTAAATAAGTCAACAAAACCTGTTGGTGGTATATCTGAGTAAGTATCTTCAAAGGAGTATTTTTTACCATTCACAAAATAAAGTCTTCTGGTGTCAAAAGAGCAAAAACAGGCTTTAGTCGTCATTGTGTTTAAGGTTAGTTTACAATACCGTCCTTGAGGACTTTGTAAGTTTGTTGTTATAGAATTATATGACTCAGGGTTTTTAGTCGTAATAGTATAAACCATTATGTCTTCTGCCATTTACTTAGCAAATAAACTTTAATGAAATGTTGTGGTCGTCAAATATTTTTATAACGTCTGGGAAAACTATATTTTAAGTTCAACGTTTCACCTCCTTTCATAACGTATATCTTGTCAATGGCATTATATGAAACCCACAGCAACTAATGTCGGGTTCTATTTCTTTGATGTTTTATATCGTCTGCCTCTGTCAAAAGTTTCAATAGTTCTTTCAAAACTTCATGAGGTGCAATGACATATGAGTTCACTTTTACAGGGTTGTGTTCGACCAAGTTTAACATTATACTTAAAGCTTGACAAATCTTCTCCTGAGTTTGAAGTTTGTCTTTCAGTTGTTGGTAGTCGTTTCGAATATCTGCAACAGAACTTAAGTCTCTGCTAACTTCAGGATATGTTGGTTTTTTACAGGAACAATTGTTATACCATCTTCGTCTTCGTATGGTTTCCCCATTTCAACATCTCTGTCTTTGACATTGACAATAAACACTTTGACTGTTTGTTTGAGTTTGGTGAATTTAACTTCACATCTGCCACCGCCATTAAACCTTTTGAAACACTTACGCTTTCTATTTTTCGGAAATGACATTTTACTTAGAATAAAAAGATGGACGTATTCGGATATCTTATTGAATTGAAGCAAACAAAGTTTACACACACAAACAATACAAATACATTGACAGAATAGTTTCTTTACACAAACAATGGAAAATGTTATAGAATAGCAGTCTTTGCTGAACCTAAATATTTTCATAAAGCAAAGAAAGTTGGTATAACTGAAATGGTGAAAGTTCTTGAAGCAGACAAAAATATAACTTCAAAACTTACCGATATTACTAAAGAAAGTTTATAATACAATATTATGTCAAAACTGGCGTACTGTCAATATTTGACGGAGAGAAGTCAGTTCAAGAACAACTTACTGACCTGCTGCCAAAATCTGCTCGATGGAAGCTGTCGTTATGCCAATCTGAGGAGCCCCAGCAGGTTTCATCGAACGAATCTTCAAAAGAGCATCTTCCGTGAAAAGTGCTATTGGTTTTGTAAACTTCTTTGCTTCAATTCATCTGGACCGTCTCTGTCACCAGTATATTGTATTTGAAGTACCAACAGTTGAAATACCACCCATAAAGTCTTCTGAGTCAGCAAATGGAATGCCAAGCCAAAAGTTTGAACGGTCTCCATTTGTATATTGAGTTTTTTGACCTCCTGTATGAGTCCATACTTTCACATATGGCATAATAGAACTTTGCATTTCAGGGTTAATGGTTGTTGTGAAGTTGTTTGTTAAAGTTCATAGCATCTAATGTCAAGTTGTATGACCTCATATCCTCAACTGTAGAATATTCTTCTCTTGGATAATATTTGCCATCTATGTTTATATGATATTTAATACCAGGGTTGTAGAAACAAGAATAGTCATTTATAGTTCGTCTGAACAGTACAAACATAGTATCTGCATGTTTCATTGCAGTTGTTAAAGCAATATCTGTTCTTGCACCTTCGGCTCCTGGATTTTGGTTTCCAACTTCACCTGCAAAGTCTTTGACAGATATTTGGTGTATAGGGAACATAAGTGGAACTGCAATATATTTGGCAGCTAAAGCATTTGAAATATCTGGGTCCAACATATAAACGGCAAGTCTGCTTTCTATTCTCTTGCATTCAAACTGTTCGCATGTGAACTTAACTGGTCCCAAGCATCTCCAGCAGCATTGAAATAATAGTTTACTTCAGTGTTGAGGTTATCAACTTTGTCTTTGCAAAATTCGGCGAATGACGTTTATTTGTTCCCTTTACGTCTGTAAGAGTGAATGGGTCTTGTGTTGGTGCAATGACTAAGTTATTTTTGCTTGGAGTAAGTTCAATAGAAATTTTTCCTGCCCAGTTTGGCAAGTATCTTAAAAACCTGAAGATGAGGAAAGATGACAAAGGAACTCTAAGTTTCAGTTTTACTTTGGTTACTGCTGCTGCAGTTTGTCCAGAAAGGTTAACATAAACTCCTGGAACGTTAGGGTCAAGTCTTCTTATTTTCTCAATAGTTGCATACTGGTCTGTTTGTTCTCTAGCTTGTGGTTGTACTGAGTTTCTCAAAGCGAACCATTCATAGTTTGCCCATGTTACTGTTTGAACTAAGTCAGAGTTAGAATATATCTTATATCCCATGAAAACTTCTGGAGCATATTGGTATCCGACATAGAAAATTCCATTGCAACCTTTCTTGTCAGACAACTTGGCAGAAGGTTTTATTTCAATGTCTTGTTCCACGTATAAGAATGAGTTGTCAATAGAAATAATATGAAACCTGTCGCAAGCAATATCTACTGTTGTTGAAGAACCTTCTCCAAACTCACCTACGTTTCCATAAGAAACAGCAGTTGTATATTCGTAAGTTCCAGGAACTATTTCTGACCTTCTAATGGCATTGTCGCATTCGTTATACCATTCGGAAACATTTCCGTTCATGGCATCCAAAACTGTTGGCGTTATATTCTGAGCGGCGTACATTTCATATGGGTAAAAATATAGAATAGTTGGATTTATATATCATAATAGAACCCACTCGGACCAAGCTTTACTTTCTTCCTGACTGAGTTTTTAACTCTTCTTTTTCCTTCATTGCCACTACTTTCACTAGATGAAGTTACTTCTTCACTACTTTCACTTTGTTCTACTCTTCTCTTCTTCTTTGGTGTCGCTTTTGGTAACTTGCCCTCTGCTTCAAGTTGTTGCATCTTTGCCTCATGTTCACCTAGTATGTTGTAAATTTCCCATGTCCTTTTTGCCTTTGGGCTCTGGTCGCCCATCTCAGGTAACCTATATCCTAGAAAGATTTTGTCATAGTTTGTATTTGAGTCTTCGCGTATTGTTGCATGACTCTTTCCTGAGTTTCCGGTTCAAGCTCTTCAAACAGAGCTTGTCCATATGGAATAAGCTCGTTTCCAAATATATGTTTTTGTAGCCATTCTGGTTTTCTTTCCATGTTACCAATAATATCTTTTGTGAATGGGAAAGCTTTTACCCAACGTTTCAGTCTTGCGTCATTTATTTCTGTAGTTGGTTTTATTTTGTCAAGGAATATGTTTTTCAATACTAACATTTCATTTGGTACTGTCCATTTGAGTTTTCTTAAATATTCATCCATTCTCGGTTCATTGTCTGCAAAGTAAGTTTTTATGACATTTTGCAAACTTTCGTTTGCAAGGTCATGTACAATAGGTTCTCTTCCTTCTCTCTCCCTAACTTTCTTTCTAAACTCTTCACTAAATATACCATCTCTATGGTTCTGTGTAGTTCTTTGAGATAAATGTTCTAGAACGTCAGGTGTTATATTTCCATCAGCCATGTTCATTTCATACTGGTCCAAAATATCTGCATCTTTCATATCTTTCAATGGCATTAAAGCCGCGCTGAAAATACCAGCTATATCTGGTTCACCATTCACTTCCATTGCGTCTACAACTTCTTGGAATTGAGGTTGTAAGTTTATGAACCACCTATCCGGATTAGCTTTATGACCCCATCTCATTGTAGTTCCATAGTCTGCAGAAACAAAAGTAGGTTTGTTTCCATATTGGTTAGGTTCTGAATGAACTTTAAACAATGTTTCATTTCTATATGTTTTGTTGAAATTTAACCTTTTATTTTCACCGAGTTCAGCCAAAGATTGAACGTTATATGGTCGTAAGTAAAAAGGATTATTGTATTTGCGTACATTTTCTTTCAGTACTTCCATTCTATGCTGAATATTTTCATCTGATGTTGGAGTCTTTTGTATGTCGGCGAACATTTTTCGATATTCTTCTACTATGTCAGCCGAATTTTTCTTAGACTCTTGGAAAGATTCCATATTCTCCGCATACACTTGTTGAGGGTCAAGATTTTTCGGCTGTTCCAAATCTTCATCTAGTTCTGTGAAGTTAGTATCATAAGACAAATTACGGAAAGTGAACTCAAACAAAAAGTGACACAATGCATTTGCCAACCAAATAACTTTACAAAGCAAAAACTTAAATTACTTGTCAAGCTTACTATTCTTATTTTAACAATTAAAAAATTAAATTTTATTTTTTATTTAAAAAATCATCTTATATCATCTGATATATATATATAACAGCATTAATATTTCAATGATTCACAAATCAACTTTTTCATTATTTTGCACCCAAGTTTTTGAACTTTCTCGAGGGAATGAAAGGGTAAGAGGTATACATTATGAATATATACCTCTTACCCTTCCATTCCCTCTCTGACAGCGGGAAACTTTGTCTGAATGTTAAACTATTCAGACAAAGTTTCCCGCTGTTTGCGAAGGAATTGTTGGCTATGATGTACTGATTCATGATCAGTACATCATAGCCAACAATTCCTTATACAAAGTTCAAAAACTTGGGTGCAATCAGTTCTGATTGCACCCAAGTTTTTGAACTTTCTCGAGGGAATGAAAGGTAAGAGATATCCATTTCCTTTCACCTTCGTTCTCAATAATTAACTTATAAATTTTTTAAAGCAAAAAAAGTCTGATTTTTTTGACAAGTAAATATATAGTGAATTTATCCGACCAAATAAGTGTCACTTTTTCGGTTCACCTCACTTTCCGTAACTCGTCTTACAACATTAGTTTCCAAAGGAGGGACTTGTTCGTTTCCTTCAGGCTCTTCTAGCTGTTGTTGCTGAACTATTTCTTCCATGTCTGGTTGTATCTGAACTTCTTCCTGTTGAGTTTCTTGTACCTCATCTGCTGGCATTTCATATATTCCGAGACCGTTTTTAACAAGTTCCCTATCTAAGTCATCCGGACTCATAAACCTTTCTTCTTTCGTTCCGTCTCTATTTTTTACGCGTTTCATGAAGAGAGTTGAATTATCATTTAGCTCTGACACCAAATATCTCGGAGTAAATTCATTCATGTCATTTGGATGATATGCTATTAAATCATATCCCTTAGCGAGCTTGTATTTTCCAGGTTTGAAATTATATCCCATTTGATGCTGAACCATAAAGCTAAATAGGTTCGGGTCAGTATTTCCTTCCTTGAACTTTCTAATAGCTTCTTTATATCTGTCACTAAAGTCAAGAGTATCTGGGTAACCATAATCTTCCTTAAGCATTTTTAAGAATTCTTGGTTTCCTTTTTCTCTACTTCTTTTATGTCCTTGCTCTGTTTGTGGTTGTTGTGCTGGTTGTGGAGGTGGTTGTTGTGCAGGGTTTTGAACTGTTGGTTGCTGTGTTGGTTGTTGTTGTGGTGCAGGGTTTTGAACTGTTGGTTGCTGTGCTGGATTTTGAACTGTTGGTTTTGGTTGTTGTTGTGGTGCTGGATTTTGAACTGTTGGTTGTTGTGTTGGTTTTGGTGCATGCCTGTGTCTGTGTCCATGTGACGATGTAAATGTTTTAGGTAGTCCTGGTGCAGGTGCTTCTCTTGGAGGGTTTGGTGGTATATAAGTTCCACCAGCTGGCACATATGTTCCATCTGCAGCATAATGTCCTACCTGACTTTTCGTTCTTAAGAAAGCATTTACTAGGTCTGTTTTGGTCTGTTGTAACTCTTTTTCTTGACTTTCCACAACAGTTGCTCTAACGGCGTCATAGGCACTTTGAACTGCCTGTCTCGTTGCTGCATCTGTTATTTTCGTCATATTTTGTGCTACTTCTCTTAACTCTTTGTCGAAACCTTCAGACTTCAGTTTCTTTCCAGATGAGAAGTCGTTCACTAGTTTCACCTTACTATGAAGAGCTTCGAAGGCGTTCTTAAAGTCAGCATTCATTAAAGCTTCATTTGAACTGTCTTCATCCGCTTGTATTTTTGTCCTTATTGACCCTATAAGTTGGGCTGCTTTAGCGTTGGCTTGGGCATCTAACCAGTCATTGTTAGCTTTTATATATTCTGCGCTTTTCATTGCCTTTTGCATGGCTGCGTCGTTATTTTTACTTTCTTGTGCTAAGTTTTCATACTGTACGGTTTGGTTTTGCAACTGTAAAAGTTTTTCTGCCTTTACATTTGCTTCAACTTCTTTTTATACTCATCGCTATCCATATATGTCTTCAGGGCTTTTTGTTCTATTTCTTCATCTTTCAGTACTTTATATTGAGTAGTATGGTTTTTCAAATTTATAACATCTTGTTCCATTTTTGCTACTTCTGCTGCTTTTTCTGACACTTTTTTCGCATATTCCTCTGTACTTAGTTCTTTCAGTTGTTCTTCTTTCTTCTTTTTCTCTACGTTTAACTCATTGAGTTTCTTTGTGTGTCTGTCATATTCTAGTTTCTTTTCGTTTTCACTTATTTGTTTCTGTATGTCTATGTTTGACTTTTTGACATCTGTTATTTGATTTTTGAGTGAACTCAAATTCATTTGACTTTGAGGGTTATAAGCTGTTCCGTCTGCAGCTCCACCATAGCCTGCCATTTTCGCTAAAAGTGCCGCTCTTAAACCTCCACTCTGTGCACCAATAACTCGGTTTAAAAGCATAGGGTTGCTTGACATTTGTTGCAACATAGTGGGGTCATTCATCATTTGTTGTTGCAACTGTTGTTGTGGTGTCAGTTTTACTATTGGATGTTTCAATGCTCCCTTCCTCTTACGTATATTCTTACGTAGCTTACGTGGCATTTTAAGTGAAGTTAAAAAGCGGTTTTTGACAGATGTTTATATGACACTTTTTGTTCAGCACAAAAAACTACTCGGTCAAAGTGTTGTCAGTTTTGTAAAATAACCGTCTTATCTCATTCTATAAGGGAAAAAGGCTTCTCAAAGTATACTTCCTTGGAACGCCTGTAACTTTTCCTGTAGCGACGATAGACCCTTACTTGTCCGGACAAAGTTATACTATTTTGAGTGCTCTACAAAAAAGTCAACGGCTGGCTCGTCCTCAGAAATTTCTTATGGGCTAGAGGGCGCAACGCGCCTGGAAGCCCTCCGAATAAAAACTTCATTTATACTAAACATCTTCAGGGCTAGAGGGCGCAACGCGCCTGGAAGCCCTCCGAATAAAAACTTCATTTATACTAAACATCTTCAGGGCTAGAGGGCGCAACGCGCCTGGAAGCCCTCCGAATAAAAACTTCATTTATACTAAACATCTTCAGGGCTAGAGGGCGCAACGCGCCTGGAAGCCCCACTACCTTTTTTTAATTGCATTAAATTTTTAATATTTGGATAATTTGCAAATTTCTCAAAATTGCATTCATCTACGATCTTCATACTTTAAAATATTTCTATATATCCATATATCTATTAATATACAAAGTGGCAATGAAAATTTCGAAATGAAAAGCAATTTTAATTATATTTGAGTTTAAAAAGTGATAGATTCGATAATAAACAATACTAATATATTTATTATGTCACATGATATTTACTCACCAAGCCACTGGCTCGAGCATTGATGTCTGGGGTCGAAACACTTCTTATTATTTTCAACTTGTAATCCTCCGATTGAAGATATCACAAACATTATAACTAAGTTATGGATATTTCATTTGTTTAGTAAAAATAAGATGATGTATTTTTTTAAAAGTAAAAAATAAGAATTTTGTATTTATTTTATGAAGATAAATCAATTTTTCAACACTCGCTTTTACATTTCTTCGAGTGGCTCGACCATGAACAAGCGCATAGCGTTGTTGAGTGTCTGAAGGATCATGCGGCAGAGCTGGACACGTGGGTACAAAGCAGGGTCTCCAGCCTTGAGGATCTGTGTCTGTCCGTAGTAAGAAGAGAATGTGCGGGCGAGGTTGTAAGCGAAGAATGGGATGATGTGTGTTCCGAACTCTGGGAGTTTTGGAGCTGGTGGGATTTCTGGGATGGCAGCGCGGACTGTCTCAGAAGCGAATGACATGATGTACTTTGTGAGCAATTCCCAAGCGATTGGCTCGTTCTGGATGAGAGACCAGTCGATGTGTTCTGGTGCTGGAGCGAACTTTCCTTCCTTGACGCCGTTCTCGAACTTGGAGATGATTGATGAGATACGAGCGCCTGTGTAGAGGATGAAAGCGGCGGAGTTGCCCTGTGGATCGACAGCCTTAGCGATGTCGAACTCGATGGCGTTACGTGGGTGGACAGCGAGCAATGCGTACTTCATAGAAGCGTTTGCAACTGTGTGTGTGATGTTCTCGACTGAGTCCTGGTTGTCCAAGTCGACCTTCTGCTCCTTGCGGTCGGCCATGACCTTCTTTGTGGCCTCCTTGAGGTCCTTGTAGAGGTCATCGGCGAGGAAAGAGATGCCGCGGCGAGATGACATACGCTTGACCTTGCCGTCCTTCATGAGCTTGACAATTTCGTATGCCATGTGGAACTGTGCGCGGCGTGTGATGCCGAGTGCCTGGAGTGTGAGAACGACCTTCTCCTGTGGGAGGTTCTGCTCTGTGCAGATGCAGTTGAGGACCATGTCTGCCTCGCCGATCTTCTTCATGGAGTAGGCAACATCACGGAATGTGTAGAGCGTTGTGCCGTCTGGGCGGAGTAAGTAGAACGGTGGGTATGGCTTCTGGTAGCCGCCCTTGCCCATCTTGGCTCCGATGGCCTCGAGATATGAGTTGATGTCGAGGTAGGCACCCTCTGGCTTGCCCTGGGCGTTGCACTGTGTCTGTGGGTGGAAGAAGGCGGACTTCTGGAGTGTTGTGAGGAGGGCATGGGATGTGCCTTCCCAGGAAATTTCGGATTCGAAGTCGAAGCGGTCGTGGTGGACGTTGTATGTGTCCAGGGTCTGCTGGATGCCTGTAAGTGTGGAGTTTGTCATCTGGCGGATGATGGCGACGGCCTCTGGCTTCTTGTCTTCGTAGTCCTTGTTGAGTTTGGCAGCAACATCGGAGATGGACTCGTCATCGGAGAAGCAGGCGCGGATGGAATCCCAAAGCTGTGGGTGGTGGTAGTGGAGGCGGCAGGCTGTCTCAATGATGTCCTCTTCTGGAGATTTCTCTTTCTTTGGCTCATTTGTCTCTTCTTCCTCGTCGTCTTCCTTGGCTGGAACGTAGGAGGCAAAGTGGGAGGCGAGCTCGTCGAACTTAAGGCCAAGCTTCTGTGCAGAGTTGAGTGTGTTCATGATTGAGTAGATGTAGCCAATCATGTGGTCGATCTTGTAGCCCTCTGGGAACTTGCCGTTGAGGCGGGCATAGCCGACAGCTGTAAGACCGATCTGGGCACCGAGATCGTTGACAAAGTAAAGCTCACGAACGTTGTAGCCGACCCACTTGAGAAGGCGAGCAAGGTGAGCGCCGATAAGAACGGAACGAAGGTTACCAATGTGGAGAGAAGCGTTTGGATTGGCAGATGTGTGCTCAACATCGACTGTCTTTGGCTCTGGGAGCTTGGAAGAACCATACTCGTTGCCCATAGATGTAACTGCATCGTATGCAATCTGGAAGCATTGAGCACGATCAACCTTGAAGTTGACATAAATTTTATCAGCAGCAGCGGAAAGGATGAATTTCTTGTTAGTATATTCGTTAACTTTCTGGGCAACTTCTTGAGCGAATTTTGGTCCTGGTTGCTTCTTAGAAGCAGCGTACTTAGCAACAGCCATTGAAAAATCAAATTCGGCTTGGTTGCAAAAAGCGACTGCTGGCATTTCAGCAGCATCGGCACCGATAGCGGCAGCAACTTCTTGCTGAATAAGAGCAAAAGCAGCGCGATCTGTGAACGAACTCATTTTCTAAATTAAAAATGGTCCAACTATCGGCGGTTTTGTCTCTCAATTTTTCTCTGTTATTTTTTTTTTTTTTGATAATTGAAAATGACACATATAATAATAAAATAATCATTCAATTTCAAAAAATTTTGTCAAATCTATCGATTTGTGGCGAAATTTTCTCAAAAAAAATTAAATTGATAACTTCCAATATGGCTGATTGGTTCATTGCATTTATGCAGATATGTAATTAATATCATGGTTTATGTTTATGGAATTTTTATTATTTTTCATTACTCAACAATCCATATAATCGCTAATGGATTTAATCATATTGCCATAAAATGTCTTTGAATAATTGTATTGATATTCGCATCGCTTTATTTTGAATTTTTTCAAGATCTGAAAATTTATTATTAGAAAAATTTTGATTTCTGAAGAAAACAAACATTAAATTTTACTCTACATAGGAATGTAAAATCTGTAGTAGTTACAAAAATCTATAAACATATAAAAATTCAATAATAAAAAGCTATTTTTCATCACTTTCAATCAAGAAGTGCTCCAATCTGCTGAGATACTCATTTTCGTAATTTCCATCTAATATTTCTTGTATATTCTCTATAAAATCATCGTTATAAAAAGATTGCAAAATTTGGACATTTTTTGCCGTATCAGCTTTTGAAAACAATGATAATGCGCATATAGAAAACGAGTCTAACTGTCCTTTATCAAAAGACTCAATTGTTTCGAAAATTAAATCCAAAATTTCATGAGTTGAAAAGAAATCTAGAGCCAAATCTGTTGTCATCAACGCAGAGAACGCCAACGATGCCTTGACCTTTATATTAAGTGATCCATTTTGTAGTAAAAATATCAAATTCTCGATTGCTTCGGATTTAAGAGCAATTTCTATCACAAACTCGCCACAGCAGAAGACATTTTGCATAAATTCACAAAATGTCTCAGTGAACTCTTGACTTCGACCTCTTATTGACAACAAATCTAAAAATCCTAAATCTAACAAGAAACAAACAGCTCTTTCATCTTTTGCTGCTGTTAAATTGATAAATATATCAAGAGCTGCTATTTGTATGCAATCAGACTGATTTCTTCCAACGAATTTAATTAATTGATGCAAAAACTCACTGCTTTGGAATATTGTACCGAATTCATCTGGATATGTTGCAGATACATTCGATATCGATACTAATCCTGATAATACGACTTCTTCAAATGGAGATTGAGCAGAATATAAAAATTTATGTAAACATTCTTCAAGTCTTTCTTTGGCATCAATAAATCCAGACAATATCATAGATGCAAGCATTTTGTTGGATAATTTATTGAGTTGAACAATTGGTTGAACAGAAAATTCAAATCCAGGAACTGTATCAGAAGATAAAGAAGATGTCAGCATAAATGGATAGTCTATTACTGGTTGTGGAATGGTTTGTACTTTGTGCTCATCAAGTGCTTTACAATAAAAAGTTAATAAATAAACGTTTGCTTCAATGGTTTGAGGATATTTTGAAACTAGTTTCATTGTAAGCCTCCTTGATATTTCTTCATCTAGCATTGAATTTAATATAACATCATCCTCTTCCGATAAGTCGATAATTATTTTTAATAAAGCAACGAGAAAGTTTGCTGGACATTCGTCAATCAATTCCAATAGACCATTATAGCATTCTTCTGATAAATCAAATGAAAGATAGAACTCTTTTAAAATTTGTATAAATTTATAATCTGATTTAAGAAATGGAAACGACTCTATGCGTTCTAGTCTGGATTTAGAAGTGTTTCCTACTCTTCGACTGTCAGGTAAATTTTCACAGTCATCTTTATAATCCATTGTCGTTTTTTTCTCAGATTTTGATCCCAAAAATTTCTAACTATGAAATTTGATGTGAGAATATATTATATTATCTATATCCATTGTCAGATACAAAAGTACCATTAGGTCTGTACAGTCTTCGACGATTATTTCGAAAATTTTTGCTTATTACATATCAATAAAAAGTTTTTAAAATCAAATCAAAAAAAATATTTGAGGTGACAAGACTGTAATGTGATCTCTTTTGAAGTTTTTTGGATTTAGAGGTGAAATAAATTGACGTATTGCACCAGTATGTTATAATAGGTCGATTTATAATAAAATAATAATTATAATAAAAGTAGTAGGATATGATGTTGTAAACAGAAATTCATCAAAAGTGACACCTCAGAAAAGCTAAAATATTGAATTTTTGGAACTTTTGATAGAGCACGTTTTTAAATATTAATTAAAGTAAATGTATATTTTGTAAAGATTCTTTTTAATAAAAAAGTAAAATTTTGAAGAAGAACACAAAATCTTCTGAAAAATAATATCACATAAACTCATATTATTTTCTAATATATAACTATTTTATATAAAAATCAAATTCAATGATCTGAAAAGCGAAGGATAAACCTCAAAATTTACGAATATAATGAGTGGGAATATAATGCTTATCTATCATAAAACCATATGAAATATCAATTTTTGCTTTACGCCTATTCCCACTCATTATATTCGTAAATTTTGAGGTTTATCCTTCGCTTTTCAGATCATTGAATTTGATTTTTATATAAAATAGTTATATATTAGAAAATAATATGAGTTTATGTGATATTATTTTTCAGAAGATTTCATTCTATATGCCTATGAAAAGTACTCTCAAAACTAACTTTTTCCTAATTATAATTAAATCTAGAATATTGTATTATGCTTAGTATTATTTCATTTTTCTCATTCAATTTAGAATTTACAAATGTCAAAAAATTGAGAGCTGTCACTTTTGATGAATTTCTGTTTATTACAATGATGGGTTTTGTGACTTTTTTTGTAAACGTAAGAATTCATACAATATCGAGCGATTTTGTATCATTTTTTTTAACATATGAAGTAAAAAATGTATGATTCTTACGGTTTAGTCAGGTATGAGGGGCTTCCAGGGGCTGCGCCCCTTCTAGCCCTGAAGATGTTTAGTATAAATGAAGTTTTTATTCGGAAAATTGTTAGTCTTCTGGGTCGAAAACATTATATAATGTGTCGCTTTTCACAAATTATATATGTTTTCATGTTTGTCACTTTTCCGTCACTTTTCGGGTAAAAACATTTTTATTATTATATATAAATGAATTTTACAAAACCACCGTTACCGTTCTTTGGAGTGTGGTAGAATTTACGAAAAAGTGACACTTAACCTTAAATTTCCAAACACTATTTTTTGATTGTATTTTGTTATTTATATATTTATATATATAAATATATTTATATATATAAATATATTTATATATATAAATATATTTATATATATAAATATATTTATATATATAAATATATTTATATATGTATATTTATATATGTATATTTATATATGTATATTTATATATGTATATTTATATATGTATATTTATATATGTATATTTATATATGTATATTTATATATGTATATTTATATATGTATATTTATATATGTATATTTATATATGTATATTTATATATGTATATTTATATATGTATATTTATATATGTATATTTATATATGTATATATTTATATATGTATATTTATATATGTATATTTATATATGTATATTTATATATGTATATTATATATGTATATTTATATATGTATATTTATATATGTATATTTATATATGTATATTTATATATGTATATTTATATATGTATATTATATATGTATATTTATATATGTATATTTATATATGTATATATTTATATATGTATATTTATTTAAAAAAATTAAAAATAATATAATTAAAATTTATTTATATTTTAAATTTCATACTGATCTTCGATTCCAATTTGTGAATTGATATCATTAACAATTGAATTTCGGTGCACCCCTATGAGAGCGCTGGCGACCGAAACACCACTAGTAAGATTGTGTATTAGAAACTGCTTCATGCTGTTTGAGTAAGCTTCGATGTCTTTGTAGGATAGCTTTCTGAGAGCGAAACAAGATAGTGTTGAAAAAAAATTTTGAAAATCTGAGAGACTGTGCAAGAGCCAACGACCAAAACACTACCAGTAAGATACAGCAGTAGTAGCTGCTTCATGCTGCATTGAGTATTGTTGAATAATTTGAAGTAGTGGTTTTTGAAATCAGCACCCCTATGAGAGCGCTGGCGACCGAAACACCACTAGTAAGATTGTGTATTAGAAACTGCTTCATGCTGTGTTGAGTAAGCTTCGATGTCTTTGTAGGATAGCTTTCTGAGAGCGAAACAAGATAGTGTTGAAAAAAAATTTTGAAAATCTGAGAGACTGTGCAAGAGCCAACGACCAAAACACTACCAGTAAGATACAGCAGTAGTAGCTGCTTCATGCTGCATTGAGTATTGTTGAATAATTTGAAGTAGTGGTTTTTGAAATCAGCACCCCTATGAGAGCGCTGGCGACCGAAACACCACTAGTAAGATTGTGTATTAGAAACTGCTTCATGCTGTGTTGAGTAAGCTTCGATATCTTTATCAGACCACCTTTAAATTAACCACTCACATTCTCACTGTGGTCCATCTAAAATTTGTAAACTCTATGACATAAAATTATATTATATGCAGGATCCCACCTATTACTTAATCTTTTTGGAATAAATGTTTTATAATATTTATCGATTGATTGTAATTTTTTGTATAAAAAAAAGTTTTTTATTTATATTAAAAATATATTCGGTTAATGATATTATCTTATAATTTGTAAATAAATCTAGTAATAAAATAACTTTAATAGTTGGTGTCACTTTTTCGAAAATTCTGGTTTTTTCCTTTTCCGTCACTTTTCGGGTAAAAACATTTTTATTATTATATATAAATGAATTTTACAAAACCACCGTTACCGTTCTTTGGAAATAAGAGTAGATGTAAAGATATTATATTGAGAGAACTTAAGAAACTACCGAATGGTCTAACATTTGTAGATTTGTTCGGTGGAAGTTTCTATATATCCCATTTATGTCATACCGTATTTCCTGACTCAAAGATTATATGCAATGACTTCGACAACTATATGAACCGTCTCAAACATATTCCAGACACAAACAATATATTGAAAGAGTTAAAAGAAAAGATACCTATAGGTAAGATGGAACGTATACCATTAGATAAGAAAAATATTGTGAGAGAGGTTTTGAAAAAAGCAGAATATATAGACTGGGATAGTATATCTGCTAGACTATTATATAGTGGTTCTATAAGAGTTCATGACATTGAAACACTTATGTCAAAAGTTTTATATCTTAACTATACAAATGTTTTCAAAGAGGACATAGAAAAATATATTGAGGGTATAGAGTTTGTGAGATGTCATTGGACAGAGTTGTATGAAAAATATAAAGACAAGGAAAATGTTTTCTTTATAGTGGACCCGCCGTTCTATAACACATGGGATTTTCAATACTAAGTAGACTGGACTTTGAGAGACTCTTTAGAAACTTTAGACGTTATACATAACCATCCATGCTTTTACTTTACATCCGATAAAAGTGGTTTAGAAAGTGTCATGAGATGGTTAGAGGACATACATGACTATGAGTTTATATATGACAAGATAGAATATGAGAGAGGTCCTATAAACTGGAGAAAGTGTCACAATAAAGAAATTTTATTAGTAAGTAAATGTGGTTTGAAATCGGATTGTTAGTTTTAGGTTTTTTCCATTGTGTCATTTATTTATTTGACGTGGCAGAAAAGTACAGAGAATATGAAGATGAACCAATGCCTGCAAATGTTCAGTATATGTACTCGTAAGAGATATTTTTATCTAATATTAAATGGACGCACAGAACTTAGCGAATGCACAGCAACCTGGACAACCAAACCCAGAGAATATTCCAAATGAAGTTAGAATACAAACTGCAATGGCAAACTATGGTCAAGTGCCAACAGATGTACAAATGCAAACTGCCATGTCAAATGACGCTGCGTTAGGTTTGCCACCATGGTATGCAAATATGAGATGGAAAGAGTTTTATACAAACCCTGAAGTGGGATATAAACAACTTTATGCAGATGACGCGAACACAGGAGTTGACCCAGAATATGTTTTCTACCAGAGGAGAAACAGAATGTATGAGCTCCAGTTAAAGAATGCTATGGAACTCAACAGGAAACGTAAGAGACTAGGCGGACATTAGATTTTTACACGTAGTAAATGGGTTTCTTCAGTAGTATTGGAAACTTCTTTCGAAATGTTGGAAGAGGTATATGGAATGGAATAAAAACCGTAGGAAGAGGAATTTGGAACGGAGTCAAAAATATTGGTAAAAGAGTAGGTCAGTTCGTTGGTATTATACCTAAAGACCTGAACCAGAAGAACAAGCTCCTGTTATACAACAGCCTGAACCTGCACCACAGTCTAGTTGGCAACCAAATCCAACACCTCAACCGTATTAAAAAATTATATTTTTACCGTTCGATAGTAGTTGTATATGAAACTAAGTTCTAAGTAAAACGCATGTATAATGGAATTATTCTTTTTCTTCCATCTGTAGTAAACCATACTTGAAAGTCTGAAATACTTCCACTTGGTGGTTCGTATAACTTTGTAGGTTTTTCGTAAAAGTCATTTGCCAAGCATAAGAAAGAGTTTTGGGCGCCAGAAAATGAAGCATGAACAATAATAGCATCTTGGTCGAAAACATTTTCATATGTTCCATTAGGGTTTTCGACTTCATAAAAGTCTGGGTGTACTGGATATGCTGCAGGCTGATTTAACATCCTCATAAATCTATACCATGCCAAGTTGTTATATTTTGTAGAAATATAAACGTTTTCTCCAAGGTCTTCTATTTTATTGATTTTAACAGTTGCATTTTTCCTGTCATAAATAATATCGAGATGGTATTCTCCCTCGTCAATGTTATACTGGTTTGCATATTCGATATAGATATCGTTTATTTTTTCTTGAAAAGCTTGAAGAGTTGTTTCTAAGTTTACAAGCAAACTAACTTGTAAAAGTTTTCCCTGTTTCAAATTTCTCATACATACGTTTTTCTTTGTTATAGTATCGAACTTCAAAACCGACCGTAAATGGGAAACCATGTATGGCTTCTGAAATGAACTTCATTCTACGAAAGCCAATAGCTTTTGTGACAGATGGGTCTCTTAGCCATCTTAATGGGTAGTCAAAACGATAGCCTTCATGCTTTACGGTCTCTGTCTCAAACTTTTGACCGACATTAGTAAAAAGTTCATCTAATGGTTTAGTTGTAGCAACTCTTGAATTTTTTTTTCTATTGAAAGCATATTTTATCTAGAATAAAAATGTCGAAAGATATTGCTTCCATAAGAGAAATACAACACAACCGACAACTCATTATGCAAGCTCTAAATAAGAACACAACAAACTTTTCAAACTATTCTAAGATATCTGAGTCATTGAAAGAAGGAAACTTAAAACTGACATTAAACCCAATGACAGATGAGTTTCTGTTTCAAGACAATAAGAACCATACTGTCTGTATAAATCCAACAAAAGGAACTTTAAACGAGAAACCTATAAATGAACTTCTTTTGAAAGCAGATGTTGACAACAAAGCTGACAAAGAATATGTAGACGATGCAATAGCAAAAGAAGAAGAAAGAGCTAACAATGCTTATGCAACAAAAGAACATACTCATCCTGAACTAGCAGACAAAACATATGTTGACAATAAAATGTCAAGTGAAGTGACAAGAGCTGAAAACGAATATTCTAAAAAGACTCATATACATTCTATATCTGAAATAACAGACTTAAACGTTAGCCTTGAAAATAAGGTAGATAAGGGACTTATGGCTAGTGTGTTAGTGAAGAAGGCGGATAAGGAATATGTGGATGAAAAAGATAATGAAATTAAAGAAAGGGCTGAATGGTATCATGAATGGACATCGAAGATTTTAAAAACTAAAGCTGATACAGGATGGGTTTCAGGATGTTTAGACCTTAAAGCAGATAAAACTTTTGTTAACGATGAGTTAGAGAAGAAAGCAGACAAGAACCATACACATACAAGTTTTACAACTTTTACAGCAGACGACATAATATTGAACTATACCCTTGGTTCAAATGCACCATTAGAAAATCCAAGTACAAGCGTAAAAGATACTCTTAACAATTTAGATAACAGTTGCAGGAATATCGAAGATCATGCCAGAAACTTTGAAGCATATGAACTACCCGCAATGTTAGACAAGAAAGCAGACAAAACAGAGCTTCAAACATTAAAGACAGAAATGCTTCAAACATTATATCCTATAGGCTCTATTTATACGTCAATGAACTCTACCAGACCAGAAGTAGTACTTGGTTTTGGAACTTGGACTCAAATAGTCGACAGGTTTTTGTATTGTGCAAACTCTTCAAAGGAAACAGGTGGAAGTAAAACGATTTCAGGTGAAAATTTACCTGCACACAGTCACTACATAGATTTAAGTACATCTCAAGCAGGTTGGCATAAGCATAGATATTGGGATTGGTCAGCAATGACAAAAGGTAAAGGATATGATGTTAAAGACAACGTTAAGTTTGCTATAAATTGTTACTGGAGTAGTAACACTGAGGGAGAGAAACCATACACATCGCGTTTCAGGATATACGCAAACAACGGGACAAAGTAAAGACTACATGCCACCTTACATGACCGTTTACGCATGGTTATAGAATTGCTTAGTCGTCATTTTCAACTTCTTTAGCATATTCGTCAGGAGTTGTCTTATATTTGTTAGGAACTGTCTTTGAAAGTATACCACCTTGAACTTTGACAAGTTTGAAACGAGGTCTGACAATAGTAGTTTTATCTTCTGCTTGCAGTGTGTACATTTTGCCATGTTTTGCCTAAAAACTTCATAATATTCTCTTGTATACTTTCTTCTATTTTTACGAACACGAATGTGAGTACCTGTCGGTTCCCATTGTTGTCATAGTCAATAGTATTTTCATATGGGTCGCGTTTAGGTATTTCTATTTTTACTTTGTCACCTTTCTGAAGTTTGAAGCCCGGCATTCTTTCTTGTTTGTCTCTTTTGACTAAATTATTAAATATATAGTCTTTCTCTAAGTCAGGGTTGTTTTTTCATTTCTTCGGGGGAGTGGTTTCCCAAACCTTTTTGTTTACGGTTATTGTAAATATTTAAAATTGTCTCATCTTTGCCATGGAGAAGTGTCTATACTTGTCGTCATATGACATTTCATTTGCTTCACCACCTTGTTGGTTGTTTAAGTCTCTTAACATTTTTATACAACCGTCAATGACACCAAGAGCAGAATGGTTTTGGTCGACAATGAAATATTGGTTTACATTTTTTGAACGCAGATAGTTTTTTACATCATCTGATTGAAAGAACTTTCACAGTCAGATGTCAGTTTTGTTGGATGGTATTTGTCAACGAATATTGTCAAAGCAGTTTTCACATCTAAAATATTTTGGACCATAATGGTATGGCTTCACAGTATCTTGTGTTTTGACCGACAAATATTAACCAGTATGGTGGTCCATCTTCTCTATACCTCGGAATGTTTTCCAAGATATCCATAAACCAAGCATTTGGTGTTGAACTAAAGATTTTTACCATGAGTGCTTTCTTTGTCGCTTTAGAAACATAGGGGTCCTTGTTTTGGATTCGTCATTTTTTAACCCATAAGAAATGGGTTTATTTGGCGCATTAGCAGGAGTCGCATCTAGATTTTTACCGCAGTGGGAACAATAGCCAGAGGTGCATTTGGAATTGGAAGGAAGATTTGAGTACATTAGGTATACTGAAAGAGAAAGCACAACCTATTATACAAACTGTACAGAAAGGTTGGGATGTTAGCACGAGATGCAACAAATCTTATTCCAAATCCTGAAACAAGAGGAAAAGTTCAAGGATGGATGGACAATGTAGGAAGACAAGCAGGAAACTATTATAACAAAGCAAATGACTACTATAACCAAGCAGGACACTATATGGACCAAGGTGAAAGATTCTTTAACAGAGGATATAACCATGCACAACAATGGGTAAACAATAACCAACCTCAACCGCCTCAAACGTGGGAATGTAAAGTTTTTTACTGAGATGAAATGACAATACAGCATTGAGACAAATGGGTTCAAGATGGATTTGTCGACTTCCAGCAGTTACACCACGTGTTTGTCAAGTTCTTCCTATACCTCAGGAAGTTTTAGACCGACTTAAAAAAACCTAAACAACCAGTTGAAAACAAACCAAACTAAAATTTTTTACTGAGATGAAATGACCGAAGAAGTTGAAACGGTAGATTTGACACCACAAACAAAAAGTTCAGAACCATTGTCAAA